TTTTGCCGAGTTAAACAATTTAATTGGATGAATAAAGCATTTTCAAACATTTTTTTTTTTTACATTTTTAAGTTTGTGTAATATTTTGGTACGAATTATGAAAAGAAGGAAACTTATTCCCCCCCCCCCCCCCCCTTCATCAGAGAGTCTTGGTCCTTTTTATGAAAAAAGTAGTTTTTAAAAATGTAGTAATAAACAATTTGCCTGTCAGTGAATGTATAATTAAGAAATAAAGTCTGCGTTTTGGTGAATGTTGCAGGATAACCTCCGAGGTCGAGAAAAGTTGTTTGAAAGATAAAAGCCAAGGCTTTTGTATTTCAAACAACATTTTGAGACCGATGAGGTTACCCTGCATCATTCACGACAACAAGGACTTTATTTCTGTTCTGCTAAGATTGCTAAAATGTGGTGATCCTTTCCTCTATAGAGAAACGAATTAGGTCACCATGTCTCTATTACGCTGTTCCATTTAACACCAGAGGAAAAATTTGTTTGCTCACTGGTGTATGGAATGCAGACATTTTGCACTTTTGTTGCATTAAAAATAGCCTTCTTAAATAAAAAATTTGTTTGTAATATGTATTGATTAATTTTAATGAATATACAATAACAAAATCATGTTCCTGTTTTACTGCTTGGGACAAGTCTAAAATCATGTTTAAATGTGTAGGGAGGTCCTTGGAATAGCCCCACATGGCTATAAAAACCAACATTCATCAGTAACTTTAAGCAATTTATAGTGTTTAAACTGCAAAAGATGACTCGTTGATGTGGTCTAAACAAGTATTTCATTCTACATCCAAACATGCATTTGAATTGTCCAGGTTTGATACGTGTTTCTGATCTGATAATTTTTTGATGACGTTCATGATTTATTGGAGAATAATGTCCACGGCTTTTCTTTGATCTCGGCAATAATTGTGGTAGAATTAAAGTTGGATGTCGGTGTCATAACATACACTTCGAAATCTGAATTTAAAACTACTTTTCTTTGTAACATCATAATAGTACACATACCCATAAGTGTTGTTGTCTAAAGCCTCAAAATGTATTGATTTTTATGCCCCCTTGAAAGGAGGGAGGGCATATTGCTTTGCTGCTGTCTGTTGGTCCATCATAGGTTTCCGTTCATTTTCTTTGTTGAGGTTGCACATATTGAAATGAAATTTAGTATACAGATTTATCATAAAAATATCTAGACCAAATTTTGTATTGAGTACGATCGAGCCATTTTTGAGAGAGTTGTGCCCCTTGGACTTTGAAAAATTCCAATTATTTGCAGTTTCCATTCATTTTCTTTGCAGAGGTTGCACATACTGAAATTAAATTCTGTATACAGATTTTTCATAATATTATCTAGGCCAAGCTTTGTTTTGGGTACAATCAAGCCATTTTTGACAGAGTTATGTCCCTTGGACCTAGAAAAATTCCAGTTTGGGGGAGGGGGGCATAAAGGTTTTACAAACATCTCTTGATTTTAAATTTTACTCAAGTAAAGCCATCTTTAAAACAATGTTAATTGCTTGCCCTCTCTCCACTTAGATAAAACAACTGGGTATGTAGGTAGGGGAAATGCCCATGTAATTTTTGGTCAGTCAATTTGGATAGGGCAAACATTTTTTAAAAAGAAATGACCTGATCGAGATTCATTCACTTAGAGAGCTGCAAAATTATTCTAATTTGCAGTTTCCAGTTAGAGTTCTTGTGTCAGAAAATGTTTTTTAAGTAGAAAATGTCATTAATTTTATAAACTGTATGAATTATGTTCCACAATACATTTGTATAAGTAAATTAAAAGTTTGTGTTGGTAAATCCAACTGTTAATTACCAAAGCTAATCACATGAAAATCTGATAATTTGATATATATGTATATGATTTTTCAAAGCATACTTTTGGTATAGTGCAATTATTGATCGCCGACATTTTATCTTTTATTTCCATTCAGTAAGGTAATTCCGTTATTGAATTATATAAGTCCAAATAAAACTATTTGCCCACAGCACATTATGTAGCAATCGGATTGATTGGTGATTCTTTGATAAGTTAGAGATGATGTAGGAGTTCTGTGTCTTCTTCAGGAGCAGGGTATATGTCCACGCTACATAAAACGATGTCGAGTCCCGTGTTACTCTGATTTACGAGTCCCTACCAGGCACAGTTCACTTCTGTCAATTTGCAATCAATACAAAATACTTTGGAAGCTGTCAATTCTCATTCTTTTACAAGGAACTTGTTAGCACTTGACATTTCTTGATCTGTGTATTTTTTTATTTATTTTTTTTTTTTACGGGATTTCAAAATCGTTCGGTGTAAGAAGAACTGTGGAGGGTCTTTTTTTCAAATTAAGGAACACAAAAATGAGCACACTTTTGAACATACCATTATTGAGTCGGATAAGGACCTCATTTAAGAAAACTATTCGGTAAGTGACAGATTGAGATGAGCTGGTTTTAATTGATGAGTCTCTGCTATTTTTCGTTGCAAAGTTAACTGGAAAGTAATTATTATGCTACATTAAATGCATAGTCAGCATTATCTTATATTGTAGGGATATGACTTCATGGTGTATTTAAATTGGTTAGCAATATTTACAACAAATTAACTGTTATTTTAAACAGAGTTGCTAGCTAAATAATATAAGGTATTGTAAAAAGAAATATAAAGGATTGGAAAAAATGGCAAAACTTTCTCTTGTAAAGTTTGAATTTGACATACTTAGTACACATGTTTTTAAACTAATTTTGAGTCTACAATTTTAACCTTCTTTCATTTTGAAAAAGATAAAATAATTTTTTTTAATTTTTGTTCTGTTTATCATTCCTTTAATTCTTATTTTTACTTTTGCTAATAGAATGTTGGATGTTTCTAGCATTCATTTTCACTTTCTTTTGCATGAAAAAGAAAAAAAAAAATTGGAAGCCAAACTGGGACTACCAATTGATACGCTGTGTTCTGTTTATTATGAGCCTTATTTCCTCGGGGTATTTGGTTTCTGCGGGCAATCAGTCTATAAAATAATTTTAACTATTGCTTTCCTCATTTCATGTTCTGAACACATTTCTGTATGGTTGATTTTTTTGATATTTATAATTATACTGTTCCTCTCAAGGGAGCTTACTTCACACCAATTTTCACCCCCTCGGTGTGATTCTGCATTTATTGATACATTTTTTTTAATGAATTTATGCCATCTCGGCTCAGGGAAACATGTTGGAAACTGTATATGATGGAAATAAATAAGGAAGTTTTGGTCAGTGGTGTACGTGCTCGAGCTCACTTGGCATTTTGCGTCAGAAGGGAGGTCAAAAAGGGAACTATTGCCAAATCTCACGTAGAACGGGTCATTATTGGAATGGGAATCAGGATCCCCAGCTATATTGTTCACTATTTTAAGCCAGAGTTTCTGATACTGAAAGATGTACACTAATTGCTGCTGTTGATCATAGTTTTTGAATGCAAATCTTTAAGAAAGGTTTCCCTTTCATGTAAAATATTAAATGTAACGATTGTGAAAGGGTGGGGGAGGGGGTGGATTTTATAAATTGTTTAAACTTAATTGGGAATTAAAAAGAATGTGAATTTTTGCATGGTTGGTGGAAATAATAGATTTTATTTTAATCTTCCAAAGCAATTTCAAATGTATTTATTTTTCCTGTGGTCATAATATATACAGAAATACATGTAATGCAATTTTGGATTTCCTATCTTTACCAAATTTGCAGGAAATGCGGAGGCTGTTTAGGACAAAGTCTGCTCCAAAAAAATAGACATTTAAATTGTCAAACAGTTTGTAAAGGATCTAGAATGCTAAAACAGATTATTATGAAATTTGCCTTCATATCAGCCTTATTTTTCATTCTCCGCAGAGATCTTTACTTTTAATCTTTACCAAATTCAATGCAAAAAAGGAAAGAACAAAATCTAAAAATACCGAATAATTCATGTTTTTAATTTACTGTTATTTATCTGTGAAGAAATTGCTTAGGACCTAAAATCAACAAAATACAAGAATTTGACCAATGTGATAAAAGAAATATGGAATATTGTTTTCAGGCAATATAGCAATGCAAGCATTCATTTTGGGGGCAAAACGATTCTAGAAGAAATGGAATTGGAAAGAGACTTGCTTAAATGTCTCACTCTGTCACCGATGTTCACATTTATCAACCTCCCAAGAAGTAATTTGCTAGCCTGTCATTTCTCATTATTTAGTTATTACTACTTTTTTCACGAAGAAGAGCGGTAGTTCTTAACAAGGACCAGCACAGAATGTAGAGCAAGCCTAATTGCGTGGACTGCAGGCTGCACTCTATCCTAAAATTAGCCTCATTTTTTCTTCTCATCAAACTCTGGCTGGTCCCACTAGTACCTCTACTACCAGAAGATAGACTGGCACTTTAATTGGGCATTGGAAAAACCCAGAGAAATCCTTGGGGTCTATCTTCTGTTATCATTATATTTGCTTTAAAATGATTGCTATTGGTCTGTAAATCATTAACATTTTTAGTAGATTACCCAAAGCCAAGAAAATGAATAGACATTTTGATCTGAGGCAGAATATGCTGTGTCAGGAAAAGCATTTAGATTGATATATAGGTCAAAATTCAGTAAATTAGGCTATTTATTGTGTTTGCAGACACCCCCCCCCCCTTTAAAAAAAATCCCCATTATAATTTAAGTTGAGGAACTTAAATTTTTTTTCTCACTGTGAAGCTTTAAGTAAAAAAGTCCCTTAAATTTCTACAAGGTCAATTCATTTGATCTTACCCTACCCCTTCCCATTTTGTCGTATAATGTAACTTTATCTTGAATAAAAGCTATGATTTTTGTATACATTGTTATGGAAATTAAGTTCAACGTAACATACTTTAATTAAAAAAGAAGTTTCATTCACCTAGCCATGTTTCATTAACATCCGAATCCAATTTGCTCAGAGATTTTTCCAGGGACAATTTTAGTACAAACTAAATACTAATTCCTTTATTTTTTCTATTTAAAGGCGACAAAGCCGAGAGCTTCAGCGTTCAAAGACCTTACCAATTATCCGATTACCTGGTGGCAGTAGTGACGACATGGTGCTAGACTCGGGAGACAGAAGCAGTGATGACATACGATGGCTGACACAGAGTCCCGTCAGCTCAGGTACGCATTACTGGCTTTTCCTCAACACCACGGGGAGGAAGATTGTCATTTTATCATTTTTCACTGGTTGAACCCGACCACAAAATTAGGTGATCCGCAAGGTAAAAATTATACTAATTATGGAGTAAGACGAGAGCTATCCATGAATTATCAACCAAATTGTAGGTTTCTATGAAATTTTTCCCTCCAGGAATGAAAATATATATGAAGTCACAGTATTCTCTTTTCTTAAATTCTAGCTGACATATATTCAGTTTGATGTAGATAATATCATAATATTTAAGTTCCTTTGGTCAAATGTTGACCAAAACATGCCTTGGAAATATTTTTTCAAAAAAGATAATTCTTCCTATGACTTTTAAAAAAAAAATGAATGAAAAGAATACAAGTATCAAGAATATATCAATTATTTTTTTATGAAAGATGTGGATACTAGCTAAATTCTGAAATATATTGTAGGCTAATGATTTGTAAGTTGTTTCAAGTGTTTCCCCGTGTTTTTATCTAGGTGAAAAAAGTACTAAAACAAGCTAATTCAGAGAATTCGTGTCCCCCGCTTAGGGAAAAGGTCGGATCCCCCTGACTGAATTTGTAGAATTATTAAATGTTTACATGTATACTGAAGCAAATAAAATAAATGTATGTCAATATGCATATAAAGATTTGATTGCTTATTCTGTATTATGTGTATAGAAGATTCTTTTTATATGGAATATTTATCACACTGTAATGATGATTTTATAACCTCATAAATTTTTCATTTCACATGCTGAATACTATCATTTATTAAAAAAAAAAAAGAAAGGATGGACCGATATTCGATCCCAGGACCTCTCGCATGTGAATCGAGTGACATAACCACTAGACCACGGAATCGCTTTTCATCCTTTCAAGTATATGCAGAACTGAAGTCACATACATGTATATATTCATGTTCTGTATTCTCAAAATTTTACACAATCCATGGTGTTTGATTTATTTAGACTTTATTAAACAGTTCTAATAGATGTAATAAGAACATAAAGTCCGCCGAGAACCTGTTTTATACGCAATAACTCTCCTCATGTCCCTGCGCTAAAAATAGCGACATGTAATACTATAAATACTAATAAAACAAACGGGGCGGGGCACTTTGAGAGGGGCGAGAGACGTCCTAGGGAGTTTTGGTATAAAATTACATTGCATAAGCTCAAAATCTTCTTGAAATATCGCCCGGAAATGATAGTGTTACACACAGACAGAATGTATGAATTTACGACCTTGAACTTTGACCTTTTGACCTCAAAATCAATAGGGGTCTTTATTAGGCCACAGGGAGTTGTTATGTAAAATTTCATTGCAATAGCTCAAATGGTTCTAGAGATATCGTGTGGAAACGAAAGTGTTTTAACAGACAGAATTTGCTTATTTATGACCTTGACTTTTGACCTTTTGACCTCAAAATCAATAGGGGTCTTCTTTAGTCCATAGGGAGTTGCTATGCTAAATTTCATTGCAAAAGCTCAAAGGGTTCTCGAGATATCGTGTGGAAACGAAAGCGTTACAGACAGACAGAAAGACGGACGGACGGATGGACAGACGGACGGACAAACCCAAATTAATATCCCCCACTTTTCAAGCGGGGGACAAAAATACTACTTTGTAGGCAAATGGCTCAATTTTAGCATGCATAGTTAAGACAAGAGTTTTATAGTTAAAAAAGAAAAACCTGACTGTCTTAGACCATGAATATATTCATTTTGGAAAATGAATATGTTCATGATCTAAAAAAAAGTTCTCTGTCAAAAAATAATAATGCATTTTTATACCCCCCGCAAACGAAGTTTGGGGGGGTATATAGGAATCACCTTGTCCATCTGTCTGTCTGTCTGTGTAAACATGTCCGGTCCATATCTTTATTACTGAGGGACATTAGAATCTACTACTCCACACAAAGATTGCCCATGACCGAAGGGTGTGTCATGACCTTGACCCAAGGTCATTTGGGGAAGTTCAAGGTCACTGGAAGAAAAAGTTCATAATTCGTGTCCGGTCCATATCTTTCTTATGGATAAACTTGGTAGGTTCTCATTTCACACAAGGATTGCCCATGACCCAAAAGTGTGTCATGACCTTGACCCAAGGTCATTCAGGGAAGTTCAAGGTCACTGGAAGAAAAAGTTCATAATTCGTGTCCGGTCCATATCTTTCTTATGGATAAACTTGGTAGGTTCTCATTTCACACAAGGATTGCCCATGACCCAAGGGTGTGTCATGACCATGACCCAAGGTCATTTGGGGAAGTTCAAGGTCACTGGAAGAAAATTTTCATAATTTGTGTCCAGTCCATATCTTTCTTATGGATAAATTTTGTAGGTTCTCAATTCACACAAAGATTGCCCTTGACCCAAGAGTGTGTCATGACCTTGACCCAAGTTCATTTGGGAAAGTTCAAGGTCACTGGAAGAAAAAGTTCATAATTCGTGTCCGGTCTACATCTTTTTTATGGATAAATTTGGTAGGTTCTCATTCTGCACAAGGATTGCCCATGACCCAGGGGTTTGTCTTGACCTTGACCCAAGGTCATTTGGGGAAGTTCAAGGTCACTGGAAGAAAAAGTTCATAATTCGTGTCCGGTCTACATCTTTTTTATGGATAAACTTGGTAGGTTCTCATTCTGCACAAGGATTGCCCATGACCCAGGGGTTTGTCTTGACCTTGACCCAAGATCATTTGGGGAAGTTCAAGGTCACTGGAAGAAAAAGTTCATAATTCGTTTCCGGTCTACATCTTTTTTATGGATAAACTTGGTAGGTTCTCATTCTGCACAATGATTGCCCATGACCCAAGGGTTTGTCATGACCTTGACCCAAGGTCATTTGGGGAAGTTCAAGGTCACTGGAAGAAAAAGTTCAAAATTCCTGTCCGGTCCATATCTTTCTTATGGATAAACTAGGTAAGTTCTCATTTCACACAAAGATTGCCCATGACCCAAGGGTATGTCATGACCCTGACCCAAGGTCATTTGGGGAATTTCAAGGTCACTGGAAGAAAAATTTCATAATTCATGTGTGATGCATATCTTTATTATGGAAAAACTTACTTCTGAAAAAACCCAGCGGGGGGTATTTTGTCCCGTTTGGACAGTTCTAGTTTTTTTTGCTATTTTCAGCTTTTCTGGAATAGCAGATTAGCTAATAAAAAATAGTTGGTGGTTCTTTGTTTGTAAAATACAAACATAAATACACAAATGACTGTGGGAATAAAAATGTTGAAATTGATGCAAAAGTTTTGTTTTCTTTTGACTATTGCTACAAAATTGACCAAATGAATAGATATTTCTTTTTTCAAACATCTTGTTTTATAAAAGGATTTTTAAAAGAAAAGCAACAGGAAGTCCATAAATGAAATATCGGATAATTTATATATTTTTCATATTCATGGACTAGAATAAAATATATCTTTGGAAATTGATTATAAATAGATATACACTGTATATATAATTTGTATTTCAATACCAGTAGCAAAATTGCTTTGACATTTAGGAAAGGTCGACTGCATGAACTTTGCAATGAAGATTCTTTTCTTGAATGATAAAAGAGTTTCAATGATTAGAGTTGGTGAAATATACAGGAGAACTTTGCAACACTGACAGATTTAGTAACCAAGATTTGTGGAGAAATATTTGAAAACGGTTTATTTTGGGTTGAGTGGGCAGGAGAATAATGATCCACTTAAATTTCCTCAAATGCATGGTACTTTCTTAAGAGCACTTTATATGGAGTTATGTTTAACTAAATCAAAGTTGTTTTGTGGATATTTATTTGCCGATCCTTTTATTTCATTGAAAATATTGCAGAATTTTAAAGCTTCAGAAAAATAATCTCAACACCAATAAAGTATAGCAATCAGTTATTAGATATTTTATTGAAAATATTAGGCCAAAAACTTAATAAGGAGTTAAATATATTGGTCCTTATAGACATTTTTTTTAAATTGCCCATATAATACAAATTTCTAAATTTTGCAAATAAGTGCTATTTAGAAAAACTTGATATTTGTCTGGATTTTATTATGTATATATACATATTAATTTAATCATAAAGAGCTTAATTATTATCATCAGGCATATATTTTTTTTGGTGACAGAGTATTCTGGATCCTGTGGGAGTGAGGATGCTGGGAGGAGAAGAAAGAGTTCTGCTAAATACCAGAGACAGAAGAGGGGCGGTAACAACAGGGGAGGCAACTCTAACAGTACGTCTCCTTCCTATTCTCTTCTTGTGTTTAGTTATAAGAGTTATCTCCCTTTTGCTATGTCAATGTTCAGCACTTTGGCAATAATAGCCTTAGATGAATGCATATAGAAATCTTTTTTAAACATTCATGAACATATTGAGCAAATGATATAGAGTTCTGAATATTTGCCAATTCTAGTTTTTTAAACAATTTTCCCCCAATAGTTGCATTATTGCTTTTAGAAGAAAGAACTCTTTGTATGCATGTTTCATTTCATACACGTTTTTTTAGGTATGAGAGATTCAGATTGGTGATTATTGAATTTAGGGACTGCGTAAATAATGCTAGAGATATTGGAGAGAAGGAGAGAGAGATGTAATTGAGAGTTTTTTATTATTTTATTAACTGTCTAAAGTACATGTAGGAGGGTACTAAATGTTAAATAGGTCCACAGGAGCAATAGATTCCAAAAGAATCAATGGAGTCCAAAAAAAGCTGATGACGTCTCTACCTTGTTTACAAAGGCCAGAGCGGAACAAAATTAGATCTAGAGGGTGTAGAGGAGGGAAGGAAGATACTACCGCGTAAAAAGCTAAAAATTGTAATGACTTCTGGATTTAGTCTTGTTTATAGTCGGTATTGACTTTATTTTGGGTTGTTTGTTTCGAGGAAATCACCATTGCTATCATTCAAAGCACTGCAGTAGGAATTAATGGGGACTTGATAACGCTTCGTACATGTTATTGTTTTTAGTTATCATATGCATACTTGAGCAATACAAATTAATTCCTTTAGATCACATTTGACAAATAAGCTGTTAACTGGGAGGATTGTAGTAAAGGCAGGGAAATATTCTATTTGTAGGAAAATCTCTGAATAGTTTAGCACTTGGTTACCTATTTTAAGTAGAGTTAGTATTTTGATCAGCATTAGTATTTTGAAGGATGCAGTTGATCTAGCAAACTGAAAATAGTTGTATTTTGATGTTATGTGTTTTGATTTCAAGAATATTTTGGTACCGAAACATAGGATGATATTGATATGGAGCAATATCAGAGATTTCAAGGGTGCCGTATTAATGGTTAATTTCATTGTTTGAAATGGGCACTAAATGGGTTTTTGGACCATATATGCATACATTGAATTATGTTGCTATTGTAGTTGAAATAATTGATGATGCTACTGTTGTACCTCAAAATTAAGCCAGATTGGAAAATCAAAATTGATCAATTTATTAAGAAATTTTGTTCAGAACTTTAATTTTGCTGTGTAATATTTGGTTGCACTCATTGAGGCACCAAGTTTTTACTAAGTGTATAAACACAAAGTATCTAGTAAAAAAATGTAGGAAACATTTTGAAAGTTGTTTTTGTTGTTGTTGTTTATCAATCTTTACATAATTATATTCAAGGATTTTCTTTTAAAATTCTCTCTTAAATGAAAACAGCAAAATTGCATGCTCACATAATTCTATATTTTTATGACACTCTCTTTCATCTTTTACACATTATACAGAGTTTTATCCTTTAAAAGCTAATCTATTTAGTTGTTAATGTATATTTTCCACAGGGCATCTTTGTCAAATTATTTTTCATGGCTGGATTAATCAAATACATACATACATATCTAATATTTAAATGTGAGTTATTCAATGGAGCATAATTTATTGGATGTGATCCTACAAGGTAATATTTATGAAGTAGGCAGCCTTGTTGGAGCATGTTGGAAAATTAAGGAAAACATCTTAGTCATGAAAGGATACAGTTTTCCAGTACAATTTTTCTCAATTTTCAAGATGAGAGAATTAATCATCATTTAGTTTTAAATTTAGGTCAAGGTCCATATTGATCAAATTTAATCAATTATTATTTGCTCTGCAGTTTCTCTGAAGTGATTGAAGAATGCAACAAACAAACAAAAAATCAAAGGACATTTTTCCTTGCTCATTGGCATGAAACCATAAATTTGATATTTCAGTGTCATCTCTCCTGACGTTATAAAACAACAAACACATTGTACTTTTGCCTTATCGAAATTCTTTTATTGACGAAACTGCATTGGAACTTCTAGCTTTTGTCTCCAGATTATATCCATTGGTGAAATGAAGATTAATCCCTGTGTTTGTCATTGTACAGTACTATTGAATCAATGTCTGCAATATTTGGTAGGTTTTCAATCCTCCTTTGAGGAGAATGCACTCATTGTCTTTTTGTCCCATTAATGTAACAAATATTGACCTAGTTGAAAATCGATGCCCAGACAAAGGGCTGTCATTGTAAGGGGCTCTCAGAGCTATATTGATTCCCAAGACTCTAATTTGATAGGATTTTAATTTTAAAGCGGAGGTGCTCTAATGAAATGGATGGGCTCAGGTCTTTAGTTTGAGCCATGTGGAGAAATGTGCCAAGAACAAATGAAATGAATTAAATATTCAAAACAAGAGACAACTTGACATGTGTATCTGTCACACTACAAGTGACCAAGTACAATATATCAATGGCTTAAATGGAGCATATTTGGGAAATAAATACTTTGATTACTCAGACATGATGAAATTTCAAAAACTTGAATATATCTTAATTGACTCTACCGAATTAATGCAAAACAGGCATTATTTTCTTTATACTACCCTTAGGTCCCTGCATGTGTCCCAATGGTACGCAACTGCATGCTTTCATTATGAAATGAAAAGTAGTATGTAATTGTCTGTTTCATTGTTAAATTGTATATAATATGAAATTTTGAGGGAAATATTGATGAACTATAAAACTGACAAATCATAAAGTGTAAATGAAATACTGGCGTCACATGTTTATTTAGATCTGAAATCAGATGTTACACGTTAAACCATGTAAATAATACCAAAAGTTGAAATCTACAGTACAGGCAACGCGGATCCCGTATTTCCCGCGTCCCCGCCGCGGTATAATCACAAGGCGGTATTTGGCCAGGTAGACAGGTAAACCGCGTTCCCTCCGCGGGAAATTCATCACTTACCTGTCCCCGCCGCGGTTAAATCATCGATCAATTAATGAATATTAGTATCGTAAACAAACGGGAGTTATCTCCCCGAATTGAAATTTGCGAATTTTCCCTGTAACAAAAAAAAACAAAAAAAAACAAAAAAACAAAAACAAACAAACAAAAAAAAAAACCCGTGTGTTTATTAATAAATTTTGCTATGAATAGAATTTAAACTAAGAAAAAATAAGTTTATATTTGTTTCTAAAATTACATATCAATCTTTGAAATTGAATAGAAAATTTCATTAAATTGTTACGTCTTTGCAATTGGTTAATTATTCTATGTTATTAAGAATCTATCAAGAAACAAAATTAAATACTAGAAATTTTAATTAGTTTTTTTTTTTTATTTTCATATGATATGCAAACTGTAATAAATGTTGAACTCAGACTGTTTAAGTTTCGATGAACGATTTTCAGCATTCATTTGAAAAAAAAGATGTACATCTTTTAAAAAATGTACATCTTCATATTGTTTATTAATTAATTTCGATTTATTGTATATAAAATGTACAGGCTTTTTCTTAAAGTGTCAAATTACCAGAAAACATCCGATGATGAGCATTTGCAGTTACATGTAGTGGGCACGTGAACTTAAATTTTCTTTATCCAAGATATCAAGAAAAAGTTCTATTTTTCTTTATTTCTCATCGTTTATGTTCTGTTCCCAAATTAATTTAATTTAATTAATTAATTTTCTTTAATGTATTTCCCTCTTTTATATAAATGTGCAGGCATTTTTCTCAAATTGTCAAATGACCAGAAAGCATTCGATGACGAGAGTTAACTTTGAGCACGTAAACTTTATACAAGAGATCAAGAAAAAATATCGTTTTTCACCTTCACATTAACATGTTTTACTTTTTAATACTTCACAAACGAAATTATAGTTTATATTAATAAATATTCAATGCAAAAATTCATATATTTTTGTTTTCTTTGACAAATTCTGTTTCTTTGTGTATTAAGTATTAGCCGCGATCATTTCCTGTGTATAGGGATTAGCAGTGCCTGAACAGGAAACGACATGCCCTGGGGGTTTCACACCTGTCTTATAGTATACCTTGGGTAACGCTCGCTGGATGTGCACATCGTTGTCTAGCCATTCAACAACACATTTGATTCATTGTTTCATTATTATTTCATCGATATCATATTCAGATGCGATATTAGCCTTGGAATTTGTGTCAAATTATTGTTGCTTTTTTTTAAACGGAGTGTATAAAAAGAATAAAAGTAAAAAAAAAAAAACTTTTAAAACAAATTAATGAAGTATTTGATATTAATTAAATCAAATAATGATCCATTACTATGTTATTTCGTGTCTGTTTATATCTGTACCAGTTAGAAGATTGAAAGGGAGAGAGAGAGAGAGAGAGAGAGGAGAGAGAGAGAAGAAAAACATCACAATATTATATACATGATCGTTTTTCCTCCTTTTTGATCAGTATATCAATTTCTTAAGTCTAGCGAATAAAACTACCGCTGATTTATCAGTTTATTGACATTTGTGGATTTTGTCTAAGTTTTATTGTTATTTATCGAGAGACTTGTTTATGATCCACTTTCTTCTTTTGTTTAGCATGTTTAGCATATGTACATTTGAATTACTTCCCTTTTTGTCGCCAGATAGTTACAACGACAGATTTTGGTGGTAAAATAAAATGTATTTTTGTTATAAAATTTGATTAAGAAAAACACAGTATATTAAAATTGTCGAATTATTGAAAATATTTATTTGAAACAAAAATTTTTAAAAAGATTCTGTCTGCAACAAAAACATTCTTTATTTCATGCATTTCAATTCATGAGCTACACATGAAAAAAAAAAACCGGCTTCGTTTTACAATGTCGTAGGAAAACGCATACAGGTAATACACTCAGGTAACATCTGTGTATATAGATAGTATGTACACTAGACAGCGTCGTTCCATCGGGGCTTCTCATCCGCTTCGAGTAAGCTCCACTCCACACCAAACTTACCTGAGGAAAACCGAACGGTTACACAGACATCTGAAAACTTGAAGCATGGCAACTTGCTGATTAAAATAAGTTAATTTCTGTGTTGTGTGTTCAAAATATTTTAAGGGCCCATATTTATGTTTGTGTTTTTTTGAACCGGAAAAATCTTAAATTTGTTTATGTTCATAAACATGATTTTAGTAATTTTCGAAAAGAGCAGAAAATAGAAATACATTCAAATACTAGCTATGATATTATCGATAATCTGAATAGAAATATATACCTGTGATTATTTTATTAACAAGACCCCCCCCCCAAAAAAAAAATCGTCGATATTTAGTTCATAGCCTTACAGTGTGGCGCATAATAATGGAGCAACGGTATTCCTACACTTAGGCTTGTTTTCTTAAAATTTAATTGTAATTATGTATCACTATCTATCATCGTTTTTCATGCTATTATTTATAACAGACATGTATACAGAAGTAAAATGAAACCAAATGACTGATATAATCTCGCAGATAAAAAACACATAGCTACATGTAACTGCAACTGCACGGGCTAATTGTGAACACCGGATTACAGTGCATATAAAGACAAGCGATATCATGGCATTCTTTAAATTTTAATTATACCTTTTTAGCAATTTGAAGATCATTTGGGGTGTCATTGTTGATTTTGAAAATAAACTTTAAGTTAATATATTCAATAAATTATTCGACTTTATTTCATTCTATACTGTACAGGTATTACTGTTAACAGACGTTTTTGAGAATTAATTAATTTTGAGTGACCATTGGTTAAAAAAAAAGGAAAAATGTTTTTTATTAAACAATTTGATAAAACTTAAAAATGATTTTTTTAAAGAATCCATGTAATGGCATAAATCTATTAATAATAATGTGGTCGTAATCCCCCCCTTTAATTTCAACACTATTAAAAATCGACAATACTTTACAGGTAAGAACATCTAAGCTAAAGAATAACGGTAGCGGGCCCCGCCGCGGTGTAAACACGGTCTCAGGTAGCACCGCGATCAAAACCCGCGACGGTGTAACGCGGAAAGGATTAATACACCGCGGAGGGGACGCGGTCTAATACGGGATCCGCGTTGCCTGTACTGTATGTTCATATGTTTCAGTCTTCTCTAGTTTCAGTCTTGTCAGAGACTTCTGGTTCTAAAAAAAAAAACTTAAATCTATTGCAACATTACAATCATTTGCCTTTAACACATTAAGTTATGGACTTATTGATTTTACATTATAAAAAATGCCATCAATGTAAGGAAAATGTGATAACTCTGTTTAATGATTGAAAAAGGAAAATGTTACGACAGACTTAATAAAGACAACCAGGTGATAAAATGTATAACACCAACGTACTGATGCTCAGTGGTCTATCTCCATCACGGGGAATCAAATGAACGGAGGATTTTGTCTGGACCCAGTTAGAGTCTGGTGTCATTTAGGCCATTTTGCGGGATATGTCAGTCTCCTTTATTGGTCTTTACATTGTCAGTATAAAACAGTGGCTCAGTGGGACATTATTTTATCCCAGAACATTGCCCTGCCCCACTTTAGAAGGATATTATAATCCCATTTATTGTCTCAAAGTAACAGAGCTCTTTTAATGCTGTTGAAAATGTTTTTAAAAAGGGACGTCAAGAAGAAAATAATGGAAAAGGAAAATCATGTCGAGTTAAGTAATGTATCAAATGTATAAAAATGTTGGATAAGGTTTCATTTAGATTCCCTTATCTATTGATTGGGAATACGAGACAAGACCTCCTCAGATCCATAGTTAAAAGATAGGAAGATGGGTGGTAAAAAGAATAATTGACCAAATGGTTAATTATTCAATTCCATTTACGAAATTTTTTGAGATTTAAGTTGTGGGATGTTGTGCTCTTGTGTTTGATAATGTAAGAAACTGGTTTAATAATTGATTTGTAAAGATAACCTTTTCAACTTTCATTTAATTTTAACCATTGACTTCAGTGACAAGATTAAATTCACCTCCTGTTGTTTGCGAACACAGCCAAAGCCTGGCCTTGTGCCATTCAGATGTGTTAAAAAGGTAAAATGAGAATTCAAGTCACAACCTGTACATATTTTTTATAAGGAAAAAAATTTGAAGACAATTTATTTTTTAAAAGGTTCCCCAAATTCACAATAGCTAGAAGGTACTTTTGATTGAAAAGTTCAATCAACATTAAAATCGGTGGTGTCAATTTATATTCATAATTCGATCAGGTGTGAGAATATTTTGAATATAAAAAATTCCAACTTAATTTTTAGGTTGAGATTTAAACATTCCAATTTTCACAGCGACATTTATGAAGTTATTTATGACTATAACAAGCACTTTTAAACTCATTAATATGTATAAGAAACATTTATGCCTTTCTTCATTCAATACAAGATACTGGTAAAAGATTGAATTTTCATGTATAGCAGTGTTTGTTTTCATGACATGGAGACAATTTCTTTGTAAAAGGAGATAAATAGACAATGGACTTTGAATCATCAGAGATCATCAATTTATTGCCTTTACAGGGTGATAAAAGTCAATTTAAAACACCTCACATTTCTGAGGCTTTATAAATATTCCGGCAGATAGAATACCTACACCTCATTGTGACTTAGTATTTATTATCTGATCATGATAAAAAAAAAAGATGTTCTTTTTTTCGGCAATGAGCAGTTGTGCGACTGATTAAATATTGATTTTCAGTGTTATCTGATTTTACGAGTGATCTAATGATGTTGATGGCACTTCATTGAGTTGTTGATCAAATTGTAAAAGTGGGTAGGACACGAAGTGTTACTAACACATTACAACTTTTAACCGAGACTATAGGATTGGGCAATGTCCTAGCTGGCCTCCATTCACTTCATTCAGTGACAGAGCATTCTTCACCATATTGTGTTAATTGAATAATAATTAAATAACTTTTTTTGGTGGAAAAAAAATAAGTTATGGTTAATCGTGGAGCAGTTTTGTCTAGGGAAAAAAAGCTGATTGGAATGTGTCTTTTTGATTGGCTAGACGAGGAGGAAACATCTTCTGTAATCAAATTCTGTAACAGGGAGTCTGGTCTTCACTAGTAAAAGTGTCAAAAAGACGAAAGTTTACTCAAATCTCAAGATGAGGGGATAAATAGCTTAAGCTTGCCTTTCATTTGCTGAAATTCTTTCCGTCATCCATCAGGTTCTATTTTGTATTATAAACACAAAGAGTGTTGATAAATTTAACGAATGACTCATTCTAATATGCTTTTGTTTACTTTATTGGGAAGATTTAAAAGTTAATTCTTAATTGTTAATCTGCTCTGATTGTAACAAGATTGTGCAACAGGATAATGAAAAAGCTATTGTACTTTAAATCAGTAACGGATTATTGGAGTTTAGTCTTCTAAATAGCACAGAGTGGCTGATTAGAGGATAATTTAGGCATATTATTGGAAATGGAGAAATTTTTGTGAGTAATCCTCACCTTGCAGATGGAAACCTAATTGATAATCATTGATTGAGGTGGACCTGAAACCTGCTCATGTATGTAGGTCTGTCCTAGTGGCCCTCAGGTAGGCTCTCACCTGAGAAGTTAATGATTTCTCATTAAAGGTAGAGAGATCAGTGTACAGGACTGATGATTAGCTGTGCAAGGCATGTAGATTGCTTTATTTCACCGGAATGGTTTTATATAGATAGATATATTTGGCCAGTGTATTAATCTGTGAAGGACAAGTTTTGACAGTTGTTGGTGAATTCTTTTGGTGCTCCTACTGCACGAAGACACTGTTTCTCAAAGGACGGGGAAATTGATAGTGCATGGAATATTGAGAATTTAAATTTCATTGCGATCTGCTTGCAAATTACCTACAGCACTAGATGGGTTTGTCTTTATCGAACTCTGAAGAGGCGATCAAATTTTTTGTGACATAGAAAAGTAATCCTGTATATTGTCGCGAAGACTTTAGTGGATCGATGTTTACCCAACAGATTAGGAATTTAAAGTTGCCTCTCTTATTCAGAAGTTTAAAGGAACTTTTTGCCGTATTCATGTGAGCGGTTATTTATTTCTTATAACCCCCCATTTGTAAATAAAAGGAAAGACAGCCATTTACTGAGATAGATGTCAAAAACACCTGAAAGTTTGGGATGTGTAGAAGTTTTCCTTTTAAAAGATGTGTATCTGGAGAGTATAGCTGATGTCCGTTATAGGAATTGACAACTGATTAAGCATGGAGAGATCAATGAGAAGTTGCCACTCGAAATCATTTAATAAAAAATTAGTTGTGATTAGTGTTTGGACTGGTTTGCTGGATATTGAAATTCTCAAAGATCGTGTGAGAAATGGAAATCGTGGATATTATTGTACACTTAACTATTTAACTGTCTGATTAATGTGTCACAGGCCTGAAAATGTCAATGTTGTGTTTTTGAACAGTTTAATGTCAATATGAAATTGCTATTTTGTATTGCTGTGTTGCTTTGTCCATGAGCGAGTTGCGTCATGGAAATTCAGAAGTTTGCCAAAAGTGTTTTACATAGGAAAACAAAAACTGAGGATTTACGTCGCACTGGTTCATGGAAACCAAGTAAAAAGTCCACACTCAAGTTTCTGAGTAGAACTCGCAGTGAGCCCGAGCGAGATGATTCGTTGGAGGAGGACACGGAGAGCTGGGTAGCGACGTTACCAGATCTACCCCCCATGAGACCACGTAAGTCCTCAGGGTCAAAAACTTGACTGAGTTCTGTAAGGAAATTCATGCTTTCACAAAATGGTTTTGAATCATGCTTACTTAAAAAATCACATATCTTTTGAGAAAAAAGATTTGACTAGCTGCCTTGAATGTTTTTATGCCTATTTAACTAAGTTGATTACATGAATAGGTAAAAATCAAAGCAGTTAATCAGCATTTCTATTAGACTATAAAATTACCAAGCACACCATGAATGAATTTCATTTCTTAAAGGATATATATTTAAACAAAATATTTTTATAGGCTTTGAGAAAAATTAAATGTATCTAATTCTTGGTATATACCTATTCATCGATTGAAGTCAGAAAATGTTTTGGTAAGGTGCCTGAATTTTTCTGGCAGTGACAATATGGTGTATTTCGACAAGTCTATGTAAATATAGATAAAAAAAATTATTATGGGTATAGACAGGGAATATTGAGGTTGATTTCAATTGAAAAGTAAGAGAAGGGGTTGACATATTATATATCTGAGTAGACACAAATGCTGATCGTAGATATTGAATAAGTCCTATTGATTTTGACGTATTGAATAATCTAGCTGGTGACTAGAAATGTAAGTCATTCCTACATTCCACTGAATAATTTACTGTTATAGATGGAAAGGCTGATAAATTAAGTCCACAGGGGTAATGTCAAACAGCTGATCATATAAATTGATTCATTGATATCAAAAATCAATATACTTTTAAAATATTTTCAAGGTTGCCCTCATGACTTTGCAATTTATAAGCCCAAACTCCAGTAAATAATTCTCTTTTAGGATATGTAGCTGAATCTAGATCATTTTATATAATATGTTTCTTCATCCCTTTTTTACTGAATGATGAAATATTGGAGATAATTGGTGCCAGTAGTTTTTTTTTTTTTGAAAGTTCTGGGAGAATTTACTCATGATGTTTTTAAAAATTTTACAGAATTGTTTGAGACTCTAATATTATGGTACTTAGCATGTCTACAGTAATGAAATTTTGCAGGGATTTTATATTGAATTATTTGATCAAATTTTGTGCATTTAGGGACAGTTATATCTTTTTGAAAAAAGACTTTACATGGAAGTGTTATCTTCGATAAAGCATCAATGAACCTGATTTTATGAATTGGTTAATTTCAGTGATAATGTTTGAGGTGGATTGAGAATGAACTGGAGGTTCATTAATAAAGAATATGTAGATGAACGTGAAGGAGTACTAAAACTGTTACAGAGATTAGGAAAACATAATGTCCTTGTTAATAATTGATGTACTTCCTGCAATAACCGATAATGGATGTAAATAGCTTTGAATTGATTGTGTAAGCATACTTGCATCTGCAGTATTAAAATTTAATTTATTTTTTTTTTCAAAGCCATCATGAAAGAACACTTGATATTTTCAATAGCACTAAATATGTCAGCATGTATGTTAATTAAATAATGCAATAAACATGATTTCTTCTTTCATTAAAAAAACTTCTTATTTGAGATTGATTTCAATAATTTGTTTCATCTAGATGGGATACAAAATTGTTGTCTATCAATCACTCCAAAAAATTACCCCCCAATTCAGAGACAATATGCATAGACAAAAATAAATTTTGGACGGTAGGTGTGAAAATTTTTTTCCTCAGGAAATTTCAGTTTCAAAATATGTGCTTGTTCATTTGCAAAACGAGATGAGGATGACTGCACTGCTTTATGCCAGGATTTGTGTCTATTTTAGGTTGCTCCCATTGTTTTATTACCTTCTGTTTATTTATTAAAGAATCTTGTCAATTTGTCAACAAATTTGAAAATAAAAAGGATTAAAAACGTTGATGCCATACATGTTAACCTATTGTGATGAAAAATAGGGAGATTCAGACCTCAAAAGCGGTAGCATTGCGCGCGAGTTGTTTAACGCTTGGATTATCGATATCTTTCATGTAATATACATGTATATTATAAGCCTTAAATGAAATCAGGTATCTACACTAATTAATCTTAAATATCAACAGCAAAGAAGAAGACAGAAATACCTTAAGTTTGACATAAATTGTACAAATTCAAATATTTTTCATGCTCATCATTTTGCTTGGATTGGCTGCATTACTTAGCTTTTTAAAGAGTGGTCTTTGCTGATATAGCCTAGAAGCAATAATTCTGAATGTTCAATCAGTTTTTAAACAAAACAAATGATGACATGGTTTAATCTAGATCTAAAACAAGTTCTTATCTTTCGTTATATAAATCAGATTTCCCGCGATGATCGAAAACGAAAGTAGAGATGTGCCACATGGCTTGGTCAATCGAGTGATTTCTATTGACTTTAATGATAAAGTTGTGAGCTTCTGTGCTTTTAAAGACGATGTCAAATGTTTTCATCTAATTCTTAAAAGCTGTATCTCCTTTTTCATGGCAGGGATGTTGATTAATTTATCGTAACCAATGTAATCACTGGTAGTCTTGTGTTGTTGTCGTTGTCAAATCCGTGCTTGAAATCTATGTACAAAAAAAGCGTTTGTATGATTCCGAGTCAAATCACGCCATATCTATGCGAGATTTTATGAGAGTGGCTTCAAAAATGGATACCCAAGCGAACCAAAAATACTTTAGACGCAGCTTTTGTAGAAAAGCGGTAGATTTGTGAATTAAATCGGTAGGCGGGAGATGGAGTGAAAAAGCGGTAGACTCCCGCCTAAATCGGGAGAGTTAACATGTATGTTGATGCAATGAAATGATTTGATTTTTTTGTCCAAGCTTACTACTTTACAAACATATAGGGAAATTACACTATCGTCAATAGCTCTTGATTTAACATTAGGTTGAAAAAAGAATTGTATCAGAGAGAGAGTTATACATGTATAAGAAAGGTAATGTGTCAAACAAACAGACATATGTATACTTAACTCTATTTCAAGAGTCTGTGCTGATTGATGTGTCACAGGCCTAAAACTTTGCAATTTGAACTTTGGAATCTATTTGATGACATGCAAACCTTATTTTAACATGAGTCTCTCTCTCTTTCTTGAAAATAAATATTGTCCAGTATATATCAAGTACCCAGGCATTGATGAGCTTTGAGAGTTTTATCGAGGTTCTCTGGTTGACAGTTCTATAGATCAAGGCCTACATTTGATAGAAATGGAAGTGGTTTGGCACGCTGTGATGTGTGTATTCTAAGCCTTTTTATAAATGTCTTTTTAAAGAAAACTGAATATGTAATTTAAGTAAGGCACAAAAATGAATTGTAATTCAAACCAATTATCTAATGATGCCACAAGAAAACTCAATTGACAAACCCTTGTGAAGGTTAAGCTAATAGATTTCTAAATGAATGGAATGTGAAACTGTATGTTATAGAAAGCGCTTTAAGTATGATCAAAATATTTTTACGGAACAACCATCAACACAATTTACATTCTCAATCTTGTTTGATAATTTAAACGGGAAACATGACTATTTTAGAATTGAAGTTAACAAATTCGATGACAAAATTCAGAAAGAAAGTGGGTTTCTATTTCAAGATTTATAAACATTCGAGACATGTACAAAGATAATTGTGCAAGGAAAAGAATTGTTCAAAAGGCAGTGAATAAAGTATATATGTTGCAGTTATATGCAAATGTTTATTAACCTGTTAAATCGTTGGAATCTTTCTAATAACAAATATTTTGATTAAACATTAGTGTTAAAATGGAATTCAAAAGTTTAGGTTGGTGTGTTAAAAAGTTGTATAGATAAAAATGGTGGGAATTTAAAAGCAATCTTTTCTCAGAAATTTTTATAACACATGCTCCCTTGATATGCACTTACAATATTCTGTCTTCATTGTTAGGAATATATGGTCACTTCACTTTGCAGTGTCCATGTTTAAAGTGTTGCCCTGCTTTGGTATAAGTTGAATTTGGACATTTCTTGTATAGGTTTTGAGGTCCTAAATGTAACTTTTGGTCCTGTAGGTCATTCAACATTTTCTGATGCATAACATAGTGTAAGACTTTTTGTCATAGTGACTCTTTCCATTTCATTGTTTCATTTGTTTGCACACAATGGATTGAATGTGTCACATGTGAGATCTGTTTTTCCTTGGTTTATTGAAATACTTCTCTTGCTAGGTTCCTAGTACTCTTGCAGTATACACTGTGAATGATAGACAAATCAATTAGGGACAAAGCCAACTTAGCCAAGTCATTCAACTTCATGATAATCGTATTAGCAATACCCAGAAATATTCATCAAATTTGTGCAAGATTTGATCAGAACTAGGACTTGACTTAAAGAAATACTATAAAGAATCCCAAATTAATCAAATATAAGTGCACTTGTACACCAAGATTATGTATCATATTTTATATATTTCATCTAATTAATTGAAATGATTTTTTTTTTGTTTTGGGACATAGTGAAGAAAATGAATATTTTGTTATACAAGGTCTGTTCTTTGTTTATATAAAACAAAGGTGAGGAATAGGGGCACTGTCTTTTCCATATTTGCCGAGAGTGTTTGATATGTCTTGCATAGGTGTATGATTGACAGATCTAGCACATACCAGGCCCAGCGCGTGGCACTACTTTTAGTCTATCACGTTTTTATTGAAGACTGCAAATTTACATCTGTTAAGACCGTGTTTACTTTGGTAAGACATATGGATCTTGGAGATTAATAGTGTCATTTGGAGAGGTGAGATTTCGAGAAATTGCAGTGTCATGTTGCTATTCCCATAGGAACACATCCATCTGATTGATTCCGATTAATAATTATTGGTAACATTTGTACAAGTATTAATGACGTAAAAAAATCAGATCACTCACATGAGTGTTGGGCATTGATGTTTTCAATTAAAGGTGATATTTAAACTTCATTTATTAAAGGAGTAGTTCTTGGTCAAGTTTGCATGTCCTAGAATGTCCATAATAACAGGGGTTTAAAATGTTTGTAAAATAAAGAGTGCTGACTTTATAGCTTAAGTTCAAAAGGATTCTCCGGGTTCAAATAAACTTAAACATTTGAGATTTGATTTGATGGACTTAGGTCCTACATTATGCAGATTTTCAAAGTTGATTGGTCATAATTTAAAGGAGTGTGGCCTATAACAAATAATAAATAGCTAGTGGCAAATAGGAGAGAACTCAGATTTGAACAGCAGCAATATTTATGCTGAAGATTTTGAAAGCATTTGGAAAAAGAGAATGTGAACAACAGAAATAAAAACATAGAATGGTTTGTTTTGGTTGTAGGTTCTGCGTGGAACTTTGAGGATGACACGGATTCTACGACGTCCTCGGAGACGATGACCAGCGTGTCAGATGATGGATCTGTTACTCCCAAATCCTCCCAGCTCTACTACACGACTCCACCAAAGGCTGTAAGTCTGATGTTGCAGGGCACTCATCTAACTCTTTTGCATTGTGAGAATAGAGAAATGGGTAGGAAAAGGGTGGGGGGTAAATAAGAGCTCTCTTGTGAGATCCTGTAATGACATAATTGAATCACTAAGAGCGGTTACACAATATATACAGGGTGTCAAAAAATCAATATGCATGTAAATATTTCCAGGTATATTCTAGAATAAATGTGACATAATTTGTTCAAAATAATTATTTTTTTCTAATCTGTATTGATCATTATATTCATATTCAAGAGCAAACATCTTGGTGGTAAATTCCACAAAAATCTGACTACGTGGTATATCTCATTTATTCTTTTTACGGAAAATTTAATAAACAGTTAATTTCATCATATAGCAACAAAGAAAAAAATCTTTTTCAAGAAATTAAAAGCTATACATGTACTGAGTTTTCTGCAAAATAAAAAAAATAAATAAATAATCCATGGAGTAATCCAGTGATGTGATTTAACATTAACTTATTTTTTTCTTACAAAATTTTATACACTTAACAAGTAACAAATTCTGCAAATATGTGGAATTTTTGTTTTGCTAAACAGGATACATTGTATTTGGGCAAAAGAGACACAAATATTTTCGCAATGGAGGTAATGTTAATGTTCACAGCCTACACAAAACTATAAAGTGTTGGAGGAAATATGCATTATAGCAGGCAAAGTCATCTTATACTGTGGTCAAAAAACAATAGCTTTGACCACAACAAGTCACCTATGCATGACTGTTACTGGACATAAACTTTAGTGCATTATCTACTGTGCCGAATTTTTTAATAATTCTAGTCTAAATAAAGTCAGTGACTCGATGTCTAAATGTTTACCGAGTGAAATTAAAAGATTACAATGTCATGACAGGAATAGAATGCCTACCATCTCAAAAAGATGCTAAAGAAAATATCTGTAAAGTTCACAAGAGTTTACGGAACCAGAATTTGCTTGAAGCATTGTAATCTGGGCTGATCAAGAAGGGATCAAGTCCTTATTTTATGCTCATCATCACGTTTTTAGGGGGGGATGCACTCTGTGGCATATTTCATAAAGTGATTGACACTGTTAACCATGTTAACTGATGATGGAGCAATATAAAGGCATATTATGTGTGTTTGTCAGTGATAGTGTATAGGGCCAGGGTATTTTAGTGATGAGAAATGCTAAATTTCTGTAGTATTTTCTGGAAAAAATGCACTTGCTTCACACTAAGCGGAGTATTTTTAATTTTCAGAATATGGTCAGAAATCAAGATGAGAAGAGGTAAGGAAATCTATTTTCTCTCTCTCTGTCTTTTTTTAATTACATCTGCATTTGCAAAGAAATAAAAATAGATGTCAAAAAAAGAAAATGTAGGGGTAAAATGAGGATTTGAAAACTAATGTATATATAATAGATCCAGATAAGTGGAGATTTGAAAGGAGAGAATATGCAGTGTTTTTCTATTATTCCAATGAAACCCATCTCAGATGAAAATCAGAGGCTTTTGTAAAGTGTTTTTGAGACATTATAGAATTTTTTATACAGCACCTTCAATTCTATAATGGTATTCAAAAAAATGCTAGACATTGAATCTTTGGAGACTGTCAACACATAACGAGGTAATTAATATTTTATAGGAAATAAATAGTTCACTTTATTTCTGGTGATAAGAACAGAATTGAGGTCTGGTTTATTTTATGATATTGATCTCAAGTTTCTTTTTCAAACATGAAAAAAGTTTCTCAGATCAAATATGCATTCAGTCTAGAGTTACTCCCCTTTGGTCGCAGCATACACATTTCTTGACAACATGATTTAAATTATCTACTCATGTGTCTTAAATTTCTTCTTCACGCACCATTGACTTGTAATTAGACATTTATAGATGTTGCTCTGCAGTGCAGTTATGCTTGATTGCAGAGCTTTTTACTTGGCTGTTTTTCTCTAGCACGCTCTTGTGGTGAAAACATAAAATACTATTAAAAAGTGATTAACGCTCCAGTATTATTTTTTTTGGCCCATAATCACCCCCAGAGGTACATCTTAACACCAACACAAGATTTATTTAGTTATCTTAACCTTGAATAAAGTTTTCACTTCTATAAAGGAGAAACAAGGGGGACGTGTTTGATAATCATTGAAAAGGGGGTAATTAGTTTAATTAATGGTAAGTTAAAAAATGTGTTTAACGACTTTTCATGACTTGTCGACACTTCTAGAGGTATACACAGGTGAAAGTAATGGCATACACTATAGAGACAAGTGTCCCATTTTATAGAAACCCCACTGGTAGAAGACAACACACTTCATTTGTCTAAGTAAATAATCACTTGTGTGTGACAATTGAAGGGAAATTAAACAAATTTTGAATTTTTGAACAGATTGGAAGGCCCTGGCACCTCTCTATACAGAATCCCTAGAAGACTGAGTCAGAAGGATAAAATACGGGAAGATTTACTGCACGATAGACAGCGATCTGTCAGCTTAGACTGGTGAGTTTACAAAGAGATAAGCTTAGACTAGTGAGTTTACTGTAAGGTTAGCTTATAGACTGGTGAGATTACAACAGGATTAGCATGGACTGGTGAGTCAACACTGAGATAAGGTCAGCTTAGACTAGTGAGTTTACTGTAAGGTCAGCTTAGACAGTTGATTTTACAGTGATATAAGGTCAGCTTAGACTGGTGAGTAAACACTGAGATAAGGTCAGCTTAGACTAGTGAGTTTAAACTGAGATAAGCTTAGACTGATGAGTTTACAATGAGATAAGGTTAGCTTAGACTGGTGAGTAAAAACCGAGATAAGGTCAGCTTAGACTAGTGAGTTAACAATGAGATAAGTTTAGCATGTTGAGTTAACAATGAGATAAGTCAGCTTAGACTGATGAGTAAACACTGAGATAAGGTCACCTTAGACTGGTGAGTAAACACTGAGATAAAGTCAGCTTAGACTGATGAGTTTACAATAAGATAAGTAAGAATGATGAGTTTACAATGAGATAAGTTTAGATTTGTGAGTTTACAATAAGATAAGCTTAGACTGGTGAGTTTCCACTGAGATAAGTAAGAATGATGAGATTACAATAAGATAAGTAAGAATGATGAGTTTACAACGAGATAAGTTTAGATTCGTGAGTTTACAATAAGATAAGTTTAGACTGGTGAGTTTCCACTGAGATAAGTTACACTGGTTAGTTTACAATAAGATAAGCTTAGACTGGTGAGTTTACAATGAGATAAGTAAGAATTATGAGTTTACAATGAGATAAGTTTAGATTTGTGAGTTTACAATAAGATAAGCTTAGACTGGTGAGTTTCCACTGAGATAAGTTTAGACTGATGAGTTTACAATAAGATAAGTAAGAATGATGAGTTTACAATGAGATAAGTTTAGACTGGTGAGTTTCCACTGAGATAAGTTACACTGGTTAGTTTACAATAAGATAAGCTTAGACTGGCGAGTTTACAATGAGATAAGTTACACTGGTGAGTTTGCAATAAGATAAGATTAGACTGGCAAATTTACAATGAGATAATTTACACTGGTTAGTTTACAATGAGATAAGATTAGATTGATGAGTTTAAAATGAGATAAGCTTAGACTGGTGAGTTTACAATGAGATAAGCTTAGACTGGTGAGTTTACAATGAGATAAGCTTAGACTGGTGAGTTTACAATGAGATAAGCTTAGACTGGTGAGTTTACAATGAGATATTTATATCAGCACAGGTAGAGGGAGCTGAAGTTAAGATTGAAGACATTTACTTAACAGTGTTATAACATCCATTTTATTGTTGATTTTTTTGTTTATTTGAGTGTTATTTTAAATGTATGTTTTGAAAGATTCAATCAAAATTTAAAAATTGAGAAATACAAATAATGGATTAAAAATGTTCTTTACTTCAACATAACTGATGAATCTATGTTATTCTGAATACATGTATAACATTTAGTTTGATTATTTAATCTTATTTTGATCAATATATAGCTGCATTAGGAAAAAAATATGTAAATGTACCGGTATATACATCAAATGTTTATGATAATTATAAGACCCATATACATCTGATAAACCAGTAGGTAAGGAAAAAAATTCAACAAAATATTTTAAAATTAATCCTAGTACATATATTCCTTTATTATCATGAATTGAAACTTGCACATAGTGGTACAAAAAAATACAAAATTTGGGTGTTCCATTCACTGGCAGATGGAATGTTGATTAATTTCTCTGTTAAGTTTTCCACTCTATTTACATAAAAGTATTTCATAACTATATATTGACTTTTTTAATTGATTGACAGACTAATGAATTACAAAAAAGTGAAATTTGATGTGACATCACATTTTTTCACGAAATTGTACAAGATTAGTTTTTGACTAGCTATGACTTGATTTTATTTTCCACAATTATGAAATGATTAGAACGAGACATATATTTTTGCTATGTACCTATATGGTCAATTTTCTCTTCATGCAGGTGTAACTAAAAATATCCATGCTTATTTTCTTCACAGAGACATGTTTTCATTAAATATATTTGTCTTATTAATAATAAAACTCCAATAAAATAAGATACTATTACTTTCACCTAGGTAGCTAATCTGAGTGAAAACCTTATAAATGAATGTTGTATATTACATGGTAATTCTTATCTAAAGTCTGCCAGTTGAACGATTTGTTTTTCAATGGGTGACAGATACAACATTCAGTCGGGTGCAATATAAATTAAACTTCGGAAGCCTTATCAGTATTTAAAGATTAATGGCTAGAGTTGAATTAAAGCTTTGTTAAATTCCACGGCATTATTTTGCATGCACAATGCCGATGTGGAAGACATATTCAAATTTGTTGATATTACGAGCAGTTGTACAGGGATCTGTCTCGGCACGTCTTGTATAAACGTTTATAACGTTCCCGTCTTGGGACAAGAGATAAATAAAGTCTTCAAGCCCGGCTTTACCTGTCCAGAGCTAAATGATATTAAAAGTCGATCATACCTACATGTGAAATGAAAAGTTTTCATCTATAAACACAAATATACAAAAGGAGGGAGATTTATGTTTTATTCAATGTCACTTGTCAACATGTAGAAAAAGGAATTTAATTAGTGGAAGGTAGATGTAAGTATATATTTTGTTATTGAATGTGTTGGATAGAATTATTGAAATATTCCTGGCAAAGTTTGGGGCTTATGATGTATTTATCTTGATACGATTCGGGGAGGACCAGGGTGTTCTGATATGAAAAAGATAAGCTTCACTGCCAAGAAGTATCGCAGAGAGGGAAATTTTCATTATAAAAAGGTTATCTAAAAATTGCATGCTAACAGTTTTGCACTTTTAATTACAACCAGACACACACATTGAGGGTGTTATTCTGATCGTCCTGGATTAGCACTCTTCTGTCAGATTTAGAGAATCCCTTTGAAGTTTTGCGTACTTTCTCGCCAAATCTGCACTCTGCGCTTTTTCAGAAGTGTTCTGTGCAAGGTTTCAGTCTGACGTCTTGGTCTAACAATGAAGTCTCTTTATTTTAGTGGAGATGGAAGAACAATCAAAGTATTTATGTCAAATGCCGAGGGACTTCTAGTGGACGATGCACCCGGATTACACCACACAAACACCGCACCTGTTCAGCTCAGAAGTATGAATGGCCTCAGTTCTCCAAATCGATCATCTAAAATACTTACAAGTGCGTAAAATTATTTTTCTTTTCTTTTTGAGTCATAGCCGTGATTATGTATTTATGCTCCAGCGTTTTATATATGACTTAGTTCAGGTAGATTGGTGTCAGTGATTTCAGCTATGTTAATCCAATTAGACCTGCCTTTTAATGGGAAAATTCCTTGGCGTAATATAAAACATTTTTGAAGAATATATTCCTTGAAGATTTAATTTGATTTTTTTTGGCAAAGTAATACAAATGTATAGTGTCTTTCGAAAACAAAAAGGATGAGGTATCGTTTGGAAATTAGTAAGTTCCAAGATGTAAAATTATATATTTATGAGTTTAAAAAAATTGCATGCAGATTTAAAATTTTTTTTTTTGGTTTTATAGCTACACCAAAGAAAAGGCCTGGCCTCAAATTTGGCCTCTGTAAAAATTTTTGGCCTCAATTTTGGCCTCCTCAAAAATAATTTCTTTTTCAGAATTTGATTTTATTGATTTTTTATTGGTTTCATTTTTTCACAGATTAAGCAGGTAAATAATATATTTCTTTTGATATGTATATGCGAACATTGTCACCTGATTTATTTTTATTGATTAAAATGTGCAATTCTGAAGACTATAACACCGAGCATATAATTTTACTTTCAATAAACACTCTCTTAATGATTTATTAAATGTGCCTTTATTTTTTTTTAATTTCCAAGGGACAAGTAAAACATAGAAACATCACAATTAAATTATCAAGACAACAAAGAGATGCAAATGAGTAGTAGTAAGTAGAATGAATTTTAAATTTGCCATTGTAATACTTGTTTAATACAAGTTTTTTTTAAACTGTCCTTTAAAAATTTTGAATAAAAAAAATGATGTTGTACTTTTACAAACTGATTTATACTTGATATGCAAGTAATTGACAACATTTTCAAATTTGTGTTTGGGTAGGATGCAATTATTTTAAGCACAAATGTTAATAAACTATCATCAAACTCAACTTTTGTTTTGATAATTGTTTGAAAGTTGTAGCTGGCAATTTATAAATCATTGGTTTAAAACAATATAAGTTTAAAAAATTATAAATGCAGAAGTCATTTGATATCCAATTACAGTGAACAACAGAAAGTTATAAAGGATGATAAAGCAAAAAAATAAGATGAAACAAATCATCAGTATAATATAAATATTTTGGTAATCTGTATATTTTTTGAAAAAAATCTTTCTCATATATCACACAGATGATGACAAGGATTTTTTATCCTTCCTTGAAGGGAGGATGACATTTCACATGTAGATTTTTTTCATGTTCACAATTTGGAAAACACCCTTATCCAAGGTGAGATTATGAAATACCTGATAATAAAATGGTGTACACTGATCAATTGATAATCAATAAAATAAATCCCTTTGGTACATGATTATTTCTTACATAAACAGAAATATTATTTACCTGCTTAATCTGTGAAAAAAATGAAATCAATAAAAAATCAATAAAATCAATCAAATCTGAGAAAGAAATTATTTTTTATGGAGGTGATAAAAGCCAACTTGTCAAAATGGTTTTAGCCAGCCTTAGAGGCCAGGCCAGGCCAAAGGGGCCAGGCCAGGTCTTTTGTCACATACTGATATATTTTATATTAGCTCTAAACCAAAGTGTTAACATCTGTTTTTTGGAGGTGATACAAATTGCCTTGTCACATACTGATATATTTTATGTTAGCTCTAAACCAAAGTATTAACACTTTTTCGTTACAAATTGCCTTGGGCAAACATCACGACCAATCATGCATCATTAGGTCAACAATAGTTGCCCAATCATTTGGTCTCGTGGTAAATTCAAAATAATTTTGGACAGGTGTGTTTTTTCCTTTCTAATCTTTTGGTGATATGTTTTTGTTTTGATGTTGAAATCTTTTGTAAATGAAAGTTTGAGATGTGTAATGGAGTAGTTTAAATAAGGTATGTTATTTTCCAGAATTTTTCATTGTCACATGTTTTGAATCGCACTTTCTATAGTTTGAATCACACGTAATTACTCCTGGGAATGAAATGGATATAATGGGCAGAAAAATATTGACATAGTTTCCTTTTTGTGTAAAAAAGAAATAAAGGAGTTTCATGTACCGTTTCTTTACCTATAATTCAACGTGGCTTTTATATTTACTTTGCACACTGAGCAAAGCTATCACATCAATTTGCAGTACATTATGTCCATGCCATTAGGGTATTAGAAACATTCATATTCTCATGCAGTCATGTTTTACCAATTAAGGCATTAATTGTCCTCATGTAGAAATCAAATTAAAATTATGGTACATGTATTAATTACTGGTCTTTCTGCCATGTGTTTGATTTATATGGTAATGTGCATATACATTAATTAATTTGTATCAAGATTATTGGTGTCATGTTGGTGATTAATGCAGATGGACATATGTCATTTTTTTCCCCTTAATTTCCTAATTGTCAATATAATTAGCATTAAGACAAACACAATATTTTCTTTTGTCCATCATGTACCTGTGTGTACCTGAGGAGGTTTAAGGTTTAGGTTATTTTAATTAGGATTCATAAACTGGCTGAAATAATTAGAAATTAACAAGGAATTTGGAAAAGAACAAAGGAATCTTTAATAGAATAATTTTTAAAAAGTGTAAAAATAGTTGTAAAAAGGGTTATCTTTTTAACAAAATATAGCATGTTTTGTACAGTAGGTTGATTGTGATATATGTAACAATTTATCTGTATAATTTTCAATGTATGTATATTTCCAGCTTTGTTTGAGGCTGTAGAACAACAGGATCTGGACCTGGTGAAGAATCTCTTGGAAGTGGAAGGCCTCAACATTAACAGGTATGAAATATATTTAAACAATATAACTAAACATTGCAAAAATTCTTTTTACCTTGAAACAATCATAGCTTTATTATTAAAATGATTTAGATAAATATAATTGTAAGCATTCCTTTAACCTTGCATTCAGACAGATTTTATAAAATTTCACTTGACCTAGATCGACATTTCTTGATTGGAATTTTGAATTATAATTTTTTTTCAATTCAATTTTTATTTTCCCTCTAAAATCAAAATTTGACTGGAAAGACTATGGATATAGAACAGAAGGGAAATATGTATTAAAGGAAATGTGGTAGAGAGAGAGAGACAAATTAATGAGGAATTTCCTATTGAACTGTGTGCTCATTTAATTTATAATATAGGTATTTTTAATGAGGTGTGGCACATGATGGCACCCAATGTTGTTTGTTACCAAGATTCACAACCTTAATGATGTTTGATAAATAAACCCCCTTAATTCCCTGTTTGACAGGCCATATACATACTCTATTGTAAACTTTGGATAACTTTTATCTTTGAAAAGTTTCAAGATTCCTAAATATACCTGAATGGTAGAAAAATCAATAATTTTAGATAACATACTTACAATGGAAGTAAAAGTGTCAGATCAAACTGTTATCTGAATTATGACTTGTAATAAAAAAAAATAAAGGGAGGGGGATTGAAAGTTCTGTAGTAAGTAAAGAATATTTACTTCATGACATTGGGAAAAAATATTAATTAAATGAATGTTGATATTCTTTTTCTAGAAATAAATTGTAATTTCCAAATACATTTACAGGTAATACATATGGTATATTAATAAAAATAATGCGTAAATAAAATTTTAACAAAACTAAGATTTTATTTGTTAGAGTGGATTTAATTGCTTAATTGCCCAATGAATCAAAGTAATACATGCAGTTACAGTAAAACTGCAGAATGGATCCAGAAAATGCATTTAATGTTCAGTATAAGACAAAAGGACCATCTAGTTGAGAAAGATCTCTGGCTCTGTCACTCTCACCCATTTAGTCCAGTCAAAGGATGTCTAGTAGAAATTTTTTGAAAAGTAAAGCATGGTTTGAAGTTAAGTTAAAATAATTTTGATTTTCTTGAGGACATATAGACTATAGAGAAGGATTAACTTGTACTGTGTGTCCATTTCAGTGTTAACTCTGAAGGTTTGACTCCTTTGGATGTAGCTGTGATGACTAACAATATTCCAATGGCCAAGATGCTGCTCTTCAATGGGGCAAGAGAGAGTCCATTGTGTAAGTTCAATTTTAAAACCTATTAATTGAATTAAGAATTTTTTGTTTGATGCTGGGTATTAAGACAAGTGGTACAAGTTGTGTGCAGTGTTTACCCCCTGTTACATTTATTAAGCCTCTCTAAGATTATCCTTTGGGAACTGTAAACTGGGGTTACCTCAAATATGTGCCAATTTTAAGCGCAGATTCTTGCATGATGGCTCTTAAAAAATATCAAGGCTGCAATGTATAATGTTCAATTCTTCACTACATGTTTCATTGTTTTGCCCTCAAGGAATGATGATACTACTTCAAATTTTGCCCTTGATATCTTTAAGGTAGATTTCACAATACTCTGCATACTTGAAGGGTCCATGAGTGTTCACAGATGTGTAACATGGATTCATGAAAATGAGAATTGAATTTGGCACATACTTCAATTGTTTTGTTTGTCAATAAAGGCAAAAGAGGAATTCAGTGGAATGGTATTTAGTCAGAGAACAAGGCTGAGTTTCCCCCACTCCCAGAATCGACTTAGATCACACATCATAAAACAAAAGACTAAGCTGGGGTACCATTCAGAAACGATAAATGATGAAGCTTCTTAATTTACTTTCTCTCTCAGTTTTAAAGGAGGATGCACGATCGGACCGTTTAGATGCCCTAGTGTCCAACGCAGAGAAGAGGGTGGTGGATCTGTCAGCTGCTATTCTAAATGCCTCCTCTGGAAGTAGCTCCATGTCCAACACCCAACAGAAGGTCTGTCTTATCCTTACATAGTCAGAATTTATTTTGCGTCTTACTGTCACCGTAAGGACAAGATTAAATTTTTTTTTGTACTCCGACCCACATTTTTCAAAGTTTTTAAAGTAGGTATAGATAAGGTAGAAAAAGTTTATTGATATTTTCATTATAATACACAGAATTCTAGACAGATTTAATATTTTTGCTTTTTAAAGGTTTGATCTTAAATGTGTGAAAAGGAAATGATAAAACCTAAGCTTTAAAAATGACTATCTGTATATCCTTGCAAAAAGAAAAAAAAGTTAAAGTATGGAAACAAATGGTTGGGGAGGGGCGGCTGGTGTTCATCAAGCAAATGATTTTTTATTGTTAATGTATTAATTGAATCATTTTTTCATAAGATATTTATAGATACCTCTCTGACTTAAAAAATTGAAACAAGATATATGATTATCTTTATTTAAATCAGAGTTTGTAAACAAAAAGTCAATCAACCAGGTGTTGTTCTGATTTTGGGAACTCCTTGCAATGTCAAAAAGGTCAATGTATTAAATACAGAACAATGCAGACTTTATATCAAACCAATTTAGAAGTATAGGTATAGTGGAAAGGAATTTTTTTTAAAAGTTAAAAGGTTGTCATTTGACGCTTGATTTGTCTATTACTCATAAATGATAAAAATCTTCATAAGGTGTTTTCTGGGTACAATAGGGTCTAAGTGAAACTCTTGACAAGGGAACTTTCTTTGTTTTCTATGAACCTGACACCGACTGTAGCAATGAAATGTGTTTGTTGAATGTTTTGTTTGGGGATTTGGATGAAAATCAGACTTCATAAGAAAAAAGGGATTTACGGTTAATCTTGTTTGAAGCCCAACTATGGACGGACCCAAGTTATTGATAGATTACATCAAGAGTGGGATTATAGTTGTATGTTTTTAATAGCTAGTGGTGACTTACTGGTCACATAGAAATGGATGACCACTGAATTTTACTCTTAGACTAGGGTCGTTTTTCAAAATGGAGCATTATATATGTGTGATAAGCTTGGTATTGGTTTGTTGCTGAAGGGAAGTTGGACTGTATATTGATGTGAATTGCAATTCTGTTCCTTATTTATTAACAGGAAAATGAAAAGCAATTAAGTCACTGGGAATTTCGACACAAACTCTTAAAAAGAATGAAAGCCGGATATGACCATGCACGTAAGTTCTCATAAAGCATTTATTTAAAGTAAAATAACCCTCCAAAAAATGGACAGGTAAAATTTACAGTTGTGCTCCTCACTTTATGCAAGACATTACTTTAAAATCTTTAAGAAATCAGTTGAAGAGGTTTTTTTTTCGGTGTATGGAAGGGGCATAACTAGTAGCACCTGTTTGTGATTTCAGGTACCCCGGACCCTCCCAGCTATGTGAGTCTGACTGTAGCCAGTAGCTCCTCATTACTGGTCAAGTTTGATGAACCCCTCAACCACAATGGAGCAGTGGTCACTCGATATAAAGGTACCTCAACTTTTTAAACTACCTTGTCTTACTGAAAGTACCACATGTCTCATGGTGCGAGCTGAAAATGTGTTGAGATAATTTTGGTTTTCATTGAAAGGAACACTGCTTCACACATTGTGTGTCTTCAGAAATTTTAGATTTTTTCATTCAAGGACAAAATATTCAGTAAACTTAAAGTAAGAAGAGTCTTTGAGGTTTTTATACACTCTTACTCTAAGGAGGGTTCAACTGAGTTCATTAACATTCTTTTGTTAAAAAAATTATATATAAGCAAATATTTTGTTCTTTTAAAAGTGCTAGTTTTATTTATTTAACGGAAGATATGTAAACTTTCTTCCATAAAATGAATTGTTTACATTATTGTATTTGTTTGTTGTATAAAAAAACAAAAAATAATAGGGACTTTCCTGAAAAATTCCTCATGGGTATCCATTAATTAATTAGCTTATGCCGTCATGTGAAAAATTCGACATTAATTGAACTGTTTACCATTCTTGTGTTGAAAATAAGCTCACCTTGATTAAGTAACAATGTAATGAGTGCAGACGTTGATCTCTATTTTGGATTTTATCTTAACCCTGTGAAATACCATCTGTAAAAAACTGAACGTATTAATTAGAAAACGCCAGAGATCGCAAGCTAACCTGTCTAGGGATGTTAAATTTTTTAGCATCACCAGAATTTTTCTGGCCATATGGTGTACAAATTAACAATGCACCTGATACGAAATTTTATAGAACTTATTAACTACTTATAGCTATGAACTTTTAAAAACAAATTGTTTTAGAATCATCTCTAGAAAAAATTTAATTGAAGAAAATTCATATTTGTATAAATAGTAATTGTAAACATGTTTATCAATTTATGGACAAAAACTTCTGTTAATCCAAATTAACTCTCCTGTAATGAATAATATTATTCCCCTAAAGGAATCTATAAGGATGTTTTAGTTTTAATTATCTATAGTACCTGTAATTAGGTGTACAAAAAAAATAAATTATGGATAAACAACCAACCCTTGGGAACAATACCCTCACATGAGCGATTGCAAGTGATTGCAAAGTCGAAGAAAATAAAGTAGAGCACTCTGTCATTAAAATATTGTGTAATCTCTCCAGTATGAATAAGATGGAGAGCATGGCATAAAGTTTATTTACCATAATTTGATACAAACATGACTGTTACCTGCTTTCTAGGGTAGGTTCAGCAATTGTCTGGTACACAGTGTAAACACAATCTAAATCCTCCGTGAAAAGTTGCATTCTCTGTGGTCTCAAAACACAATTTCATCAATTGCAAGTAATTACTGTTTACATTGCAGTGTGGTTAGAGCCTCTTTATTTTACAAATGCGCAGATTTTACAAACTCAGCACTAAAAGAGGCTGATTGGGGAATCCAAAAAACGGTTTGATAGATTACACGGATCTTGTTTAGAGTAGAGAATCTGTTTTATTACAGTGGAGTGGAGCTGCTTCGATGACTTCGTTCCTCTGGCTGGGGAAGACCTTGTGGAGGACATGCGACACTTAGAACATGAGATTAAGGGCCTGGCTAAGGGCAACAAGTACTACGTCAGGGTTGCTGCCTGTAACATGAAAGGATACAGCGGCTACAGTATAGCCAAACCCGCTTATGCTGTTCCATCCAGTGAGTTGTCTCCCTTGTCACATCCCCCCTCCCTTCTTAAACTTAACTATCTTGTCAGAAAATTGTAAATTACATGTAATTCTATATTTTGTCAAAAAATTGTGAATGAATTCTATCTAGTCAGAAAATTGTGGAATATATGCATTATATGTTTTGTAATTTTTGTTTAGGTTGGAGAGATGTGGACAATTCAACAGTTTCTAGAACAGAAGGAAAGCTGAAGTTGTTGGATGAACTCTTCTCTCAAGTAAAACACCTGCGGCCAGCTGATGCATCAGAATTGAAAGGTGTGCTTATGTAAATTTACTAGTAACATCTGTGGAAAGTTTACACTCAACTTCATTTGATTCATTCATATTTTTATATCTGATGTTTCCTGTATTACAGACAGTGTTGGCGATTCACCACTGCAAAGAAAGCGCAAAAGTTTGAAAAACCTGTTTACCTCTGCCCCCAAATTCTACAAATCTTTGAAGAGGCACGACAATTTCTCATTTGATTAAAAGAAATATTTTTAAACTTCTCTTTTTCAACTGAAGACATTTCTATTTTAGATATGATTTATTATGCTTTTCCTCCTATAATGATCACATTTATTGACGATTTCCTTGTGTTATAGGGGCGTCTATCTTGCCTGTTTGTTGTATCACGGAGACAAAGTCCTGGTGACCTCAGATGACCAGCTTCCTGTCGTGGAGGTTGATGAAAATTTTTCTGGACCTTCAGTGAATGCAGATCTTCACTGGCTGATGAAGGTAAAAATTAATTACTCATATCAATTGATTTTTTAAGGATTTCCATCCCTAATGCAACCAAATTCTCTACCCTTCAGTGTCTGTCAGATACATAATACTCAGATATCAAATTAAAGCATTTTATAGTAGAAAAAGATTGACTGTGAGAAAGTTTTAAAAAATTCATTAATTAAGCAGTAGTTAATTAACTAAGATTACATTGAAGTCTATGGAGAAAAGTGTATTTTTTAAATAAAAAATTAAAATAATATGAATATCAATCAATCCTGCGGTGGAAAGATGCATTGGAATATTAGAAATAGAATGACAATTGAAAAGAATATATTCACCGGATAAAATTTTTTAAAATTTTTTTTATTGATTAAAAACTTGAGGGAGATAACTCTTACCAAAACTCAAGGTCATAAATTAGGACACACCCTACTCTCATAAGCTAATAGTAATAAATGGGAATAATGTCTAAATAAACTAAGTATTCAACACCTACATATCTGTTATGTACTTAATTTCATTGAATCTATTGCTATTAGGGATTGAATACCTTAATTGATATTTTTCATGGGAAATATTATTCATAAGGGTCTTCAAGTCATGAGATGTTGATTTTTTTCCACAGATATCTTGTACGTGGGATGACGTCAAATCTTTGCGGCAAGACATGGAGAAAAATACCAGTGCAGGCACCATGCATTTCAGATATAAACTTCTTCAAGCTGTCTCTGTATTACAGGTAATTGAGAGACTATTTCTGTGTGCATTACAAAGGAACCCTTAATGTAGAAATTAAAGTATTATTTCTTCATATCTGACGAATTGTAATGTATTGTAAAACATTTTTCTGCAGGGAGCATTAGGAATATACGATTTAGGTCAGTTTCACTTCAAGCCCCTTAAAGACTCCAGTGGTTGTATAGTATTAACCACAGTGTGTAACATAAGGGATCCCAAGTCAGTGATCCTAGGCTCCTCCAAGTGGGTCAGCTTCGCCAAGTTACTGCGGCGATCCTCGGGGACGGGGTCAGAGCCCCAGGAGTCACTAGAAGTCCTAGTCAGTTCTGTCTCAGTAAGTATTGATGTATGTGTGGCTGCATGGACAAGTATTCAGCTTTGTAAAATACAAGGATACAAATTCTGATGAGCAATTTATTAGGGTGTAGTTATTAGCAAAAATAATTTGTGGTAGATACCAGGTATATCTGCATACAGGCAAAGTAAATTACTTAAATTAAAAGTTAGAACTACATGTATTTGGTAAATGTAGGGAATTTTTACCAAGTGGAACTTTTAGCATTTTTTTCTACATTAAAACATTTACTTTCAACAGGAGATGATATTGTATCATCAAGTGAGCAACATTCGCCTTACAAAAGGCTTATACCTCGGCTACCTCAAGCTTCAGGCTTCTTTAGAGCTAAACAGGGTGTTAGTACCCAAGAAGGCACCAAACATCCTCCCCAACATCAAAGTCAGGGACTGTCCCAATGTCTCCAGGTAAGTCTTGACCTTGACAAACGGATTGTTTTTCTGAATGGAATGTTTTCTTGTTCTTCATTCAGCTGTTTACATTCTGAATTTCACATTGAGAGTTCAAGATAATTACTAACATATTTGAAACTGACAGATTGAGCAATTAAATTGTGTAAAAAATGATAATAACTTTAGTGCACCTCTTAGAAATGATGAGGAAATGTGTAACTGTTAAGTACGTGTGTGTTACAGCGAGGAGTGGCAGTGGCTACAGTCGCTGAATACCGACCAACAAGTGGCGCCACCTACCCAAACACAGGAGGAATTCCGTAAACAGCTCAAACAAGCCGCCCAGAAACTCTTCAACATTCTAGGTAAGGTTCTGTTGGTAAACAGGTTGACACAGTTATGTGAAATATTTATCAGGTTTTGTTGTGGATTAATTGTTGTGAAATAGAGACTACTTGAAAATGTCATAACAATAATTAAAAAAATAAGTTAATGGACGATCTTAATTAGCAAGGTAAACTACCCTTTATTTTTAATTTTTTTAATCCTTCATTACTTAAAGCTTCAACAGTTGTGTACATGTATAAATCATATTATTAAATTTTAATAATTTAAAAAATGAAAATTTTGTGTTGTAGACATATCAGAGAATTTTGCGGCTAGTCACAGAATCTACGATGTAGAGGTGATTGAGTTCAGTAACGATGTGTCTTTTTTGCTGGTTCTCCCCCCTGTGGAGGAGGTTTGCCTGGTTCCCGGACAAAATGACAACATGACGGAGAAAAAGGACCTCACTCTGCTACCAGTACAGGTCTTTGAAATGAGTGAGTGTTGAGTTTCAGAAATAGAATTACTGTAAACATGCTCTTTACACAGTACATGCCATAATTCTGCGAAATTACAATTTTGGTTTAATTTGATAGTAAAAAAAAAATAATGCCGAAGTCTTAAATATTGTTAAATTTCCCAGTGCTCAGGCACTACTAATGGGTCAGTTATTGAATCTTTCACATTGAATTGATTTCATAAATTCTTGTAAAGTTATTTATTGATGAAGAGGTTGATCAAGGAAGACATTTGTCCAAGTACATGGTTTTGCCTCATTAATTTTAGCACTCTAATTAGATTGTGAGTTTAGACTTATACCTGCATGTCTTTTTTCATTAAATTCATGATGCTGCTTTTAAAACTGACAAAATATTAAAGTTATTTTTTTTTATTACAGTCCACATGTGTACATACCAACCACAACTCATCAACAGATACTCAAGGCTTTCCTCAATACTGGATATGGATCTTTGTCTCGCTCAACAAGTTCAGCGTGAGGTAAGGATTTTCAGCTTTATAAGTGGAAAATTACATGCTACAGTTTAATGCATGCTGTATCATTGAAGTTAATCATACTTTAAGTTTTCTATTATATCATTTCAAATTTCATAAATTTTGTGTTCTTAGGCCTTTTCAACAGAAGAACTCACACCAGCAAGAGAGAGAGTGGAAAGATTGTCCAACATACTGACCACACTGGACAAGAACTGGAAGTCCACTCGGTGGATAATGGACATTATCACTTATGCCAGAGACAAGAGCATGAGAGGAGGCATTCTGATGAGTGAAGTAACTTCACCACCCAAAGATGTGTTCAGTACTGAGCTAGAGAGTCCTAGCGAAGACGATCTGTTTGATAATAACAACTCACAGTCAGGGTGCCCGTCTGTGGCTTGTGATTCAAATGAAATCAGTGTTGGAAAAGACAACATAAAAATTGCCAAATTCTATGATCCAAACGAGGAGGTGCCAAAGACAAATGGACATGTTAAAAAGGAGACGACGGAAAGCGAACCTAGTGCGGTGAGCTCGGGGATTTTACAAGTGTACGCAGCCTACGAAACGGGGCTGTCTCGGGGCACTAGGGTGAGGTTACACGTGACCGAGAAAACGACATCCAGGGAAGTGATCAATCTCGTGGTGAGACAGTTAAATAAAACAGTGACTCAGAAGGGACACTCGGGCCCTCTGTATGGGGAGGAGCAGCTAGACGAGTTTTGTCTGGTGGCCGTGATCGGGGCTCGCGAGAGGATTCTCAGAGACGACTATCAGCCGCTACAACTTCAGAATCCGTGGACAAAAGGGCGGCTCTATGTCAGGATGAAGAGTAACTTGTTGGCTGCTATCCAGCAGGGTCACGCCACAGAAGTGTAAACGGACAGTGCTTTATAGTTGACCTACAATCGATGGACACTAGCTTTATTGTCATCCGATCATTCCTTTCTGTCTGATTGTTGGGTCATTTTTTTTCTTTTTCCATTCCAAACTTCAAGTCAATTTGTCCATTTTGTGTCCATTTTCGTACAATTTTCAGTTAAAGATTACTAGTCAGTGTAAACATCGGGTAAATCATTGATTAACATATTTCACTAATTTATTGATTTTTTTTTCTTTATACAAATTAATTTGTAGTTGTCTCATGAAATATATATACACATGTATATTAAGTTTGTTTGAAATTTTATTAAATTATTTAATTTATTATTAACCAGTATTTCATATGCATCTTCATGTCATGAAAATATAAGATGAAAGAAAAACCTTATGGTCTTCCAAATAAATAAAAAAGAGACAAAATGACAGTTTAAGTTTTTATTGTTAGTTAGGAAAGTTATTTTTCTATCATGGAAATTGAAAAATCTAGATATACCTGTATTATGTTCAACATTAATCAAGGTATCTGAATTTATTGAGCTTCATGTGTCAATGATGGTTGTATTTGTCCTCTCTCTCTCTCATTTTTTTCTCACTGTTCCAAAACTACAATCATGATGATCATGTTTTCTCTGTCATGCCCATGCATTTTAATCTGTTGATTAATAATATGATAAAAAAGCAATTAAGTTAATTGAAAATTATGTTCTTAATGGTTTCTGAAAGCAAATACATGTGTACTAAAAATTCTACTAAATTTACAGTTATAAATTAATGATTAGATACTTTGTCAAAAAATGATGTTTAACTCTTGTATTTTATAATTTGATGTAATTAAAATGAGTAATTCAGTCTTTGTTCAAATAAAGATACATGTATCATTACCTAAAAAAATCACTGAAAAACTACAATGTCAGAATATTTATTGATACAATATTTTGTTTTGGATTTTTTTTACACCCCCAGTCAATTCTCTCTGTGAAGTAGATGTATGAAAAGCCTTCTGTGATACTATTTATTTTGTACATCTTTTCTGTTAGCTTGTGTTTTGAAAAGAGCTAAATAAAAGCGAAAATAAAATTATACAGTTTTGTTATTTTCCTGTAGATGCTTTGAAATTGATTGATCTTGTTGAAGGTACTGAGGAGTGGAGAGAGCTGGAATTCATTCATTGTGTAAAATGGACATGCAGTGTTTATTAAATTGTTCTGCGACAGTGATGGCAAACACTCGAACTCAGAATTTTTATGCTCCACCATATATATGGCTGGGGCATATGGAGTTTGTCTTGAGTCTGTCTTCCATCCTTCCAGTATGTCTTTCCATCCCACTTTGCTCAGTTGAAAGCTAAGTTTCAAAGAAATATTTTTATCAAACTTCATCTGCTGATACATTTTGATGGGAGCTATTCAACTGCAACAACATTTTTAGCTCACCTCAGCCGAAGGCTCAAGTGAGCTTTTCTGATCACAATTTGTCCGTCGTTTATCCGTCTGTCTAGCTGTAAACTTTTCACATTTTTGACTTCTTCTCAAGAACCACTGGGCCAATTTTGACCAAACTTGGTACAAGCATTCTTGGGTGAAGTCCCCTCACAAGGGGAGATAATCAAGAAAAGACAAAAATAGGGTGGGGTCATTAAAAAATCTTCTTCTCAAGAACCACTGGCCCAGAAAAGCTGAAACTTATGTGGAAGCATCCTGGGGTAGTGTAGATTCTAAATTGTTCTAATCATGACCCCCAGTGGTTGGGTGGGGCCACAATGGGGAATCAAAGTTTTACATGTATATAGAAATATATAGGAAAAATCTTTAAAAGTCTTCTTCTTAAGAACTACTGGGCCAGAAAAGCTGAAACTTATGTGGAAGCATCCGGGGGATAGTGTAGATTTTAAATTATACAAATCATGACCCCCAGGGGTTGGGCTGGGCCACAGCTGAAACGTATATGGAAGCATATGGAAGCATCCCGGGGTAGTGTAGATTCTAAATTGTTCAAATCATGACCCCCGGGGGTTTGGCGGGGCCACAATGGGGAATCAAAGTTTTACATAGAAATATATAGGAAAAATCTTTGAAAATATTCTTCTCAAGAACCACTGGGCCAGAAAAGCTGAAACTTATGTGGAAGCATCCGGGGGTAGTGTAGATTCTAAATTGTTCTAATCATGACCCCTGGGGGGCCATAGCGGGGAATCAAAGTTTTACAATAGGGAAACAAAGCATCCTATGGTAGTGTAGGTTTCAAATTGTATAAATTATGATCAGTTGGGTAGAGTGGGGTCACAGTATGTATTACAAGGGGGAAATCTGGTAAAGAACAGAATGGTCAAAGCCTCTCAGGTGAGCGATGTTGCCCATGGGCCTCTTGTTTTATACCCCACGCAACAAGTTGCTGAGGTATAATTTTTTTGACCCGTCCATCAGTCAGAGTGTCAGTCCGTCAATCCTGTTTCTTTGTCAGCGCAACTCATCATAACTGCTGCGTAGAATTTCATCAAACTTAGCAGTTATTTAGGGCACAATGTGTAGATATGCTTATTACCAGGAAATTCCGATTCCTTTATTTTTTCCGGGAATTTCCGCACTTTTACACTTAGATTTTTGGCCATATCGATGTTGAATATAGAGATAAACAGTTTGTCAGCGCAACTCCTCATAAACCGCTGCGCACAATTTCGTCAAACTTTGCAGATATTTAGTACACAAGATGTTCATAATACCATGAAATTCTGATTCCTTAATATTTTCCGGGATTTTCAGCACTTCGACTTTTCGGGGGGGAGCGTGGGGTATGTGAGCCTGCTCATTTTTTCTTTCATTTACCTTGACCGTCCATTTGACCCTTAACTCCTATCTTAAATTATAAATTATATATATATACTGTATCAAATTTCTTGGATATAAGTTCGGTAGTAAAAGTACGGTCAAGTAAAAAAGGTAGTTCGGAAGTAAATATTAAATGCATGTGTATGGAACGCCATCGCTGCCTTATAGCATACAACTATGCATTTATTATGTCAATTTATCATAACGTGATGTGAACATATCTTTACGTTATGTCAATTTTTTATGAGATGATGTTTAACATCATGCCAATGCTGCATTACATGAAGTAAATACATCTTTTCATTATGTCAGCACTCCATAACTTGAAGTAAAAAATTAATTATGTGAAGTGATAATGTGTTTACATTGAGTTAAAACTTTATTACGTGAAATAAATGTTTCTTTACATCATTTCATTTCTTTAATATGTGAGGTCAAAATTGCATTACTTCAAGTAAATTGTGTTTTATGATTAAACTTATGATTACATGAAGTCAAAAATCCATTCCTTTTTGAGAGTGTATATTTCTATTATATCAAAGCATTATTACGTGATATGGATTTATCTTTATTTTACGGCGAAAATGATGTGAGGTGAACACATCTTACTTTCATGTCAGTGCTTTATTACGTTGTGTTAAAAGTGTGTAACAGAATGTGAACATATCTTTATATTATATCAACACTTTATTACATTATGTCAAAACTCCGTACCGTGATGTGGATATATTATATCGTTATGTCAACTCTTTCTTATGTGATCTAAAAATAGCTTTATATTGTGTTAACTCTTTATCATGTTGATTCCAAAAGTGCATTACCTGATGTAAAAATACATATTACATTATCTCAAAGCTGTATATCTAGTATACAATGAATGTTGACGACCGTGTTTTAAAGACTGTTAAGAGGGGGGGGGGGTGTCCTGATTGATTAGGAAGTATAACAGCCTCCCCCTCTTTTCCCAGACATAACTTCACTATAGAAAAGGTAATGTTCATTAAAAGTACAGCCCTACCCCCACTTTTTGTTGAAGTATAGTCCACTGAGGACAATGTAGTATATCTGAAAAAAAAATTTGGACTGATCGAAGTTTGGCCCCTCCCCCTCCCCGAAATAGGATTTTCGGGCTTGGACAATTTTTGGGGGCTTGTCAAGTTTTTTCGGGCAAATTAATATTTTTTTTTTCTGGCTGACCTCCCCTTTCAAAAAAGATGCTACGTCACTGGAATTAGATTTTTTTTCAACCATTCTAGGGCCACAATTCTATTACAAAAATCTACCAGTCCCTCATCTAAATCAATTGAATATGCCTAAGTAAGCATGCAGGGGCACATATCAGTGGCGGATATGGGAATTTTGAACAAGGAAGGGGGACGGTATATATGGTTGGCATAGGCGTCGGAACCGGGGGGGGGGGTGGGGGGGCTTAGCCCCCCACCCCCCACTTTTTTTCCTCAGACAGACTTAGTATAGACATTGAACATCGCTGCGTAGGTTAAGCCCCCCCCCCACTTTCCACAGACACGTTGTAGTTTAGGTTAAAATAATGTGGAAAAGTTGTTTGGAAAAAAAAATTGCTAATGAAGTTAACCTACCCCCCTCCCCCCTCTTCTTTTTGCTTGTCAGGTTTTTTTTGAAGTTATATAAAAAAAATTCTTACCCTTAGCCCCCCCCCCCCCCCCCCAACACTTTCAATTTGCTTCCGACGCCAATGTTTGGAGACCAAGGAGGAAAGCAGAGAAGCTCTAAGGCTTAATAGTTTTACAGAAAAAAAGTTTGCAACTTAATTCAGCTAAACTTAATGTGAACTAATGCAATGTCCTACAAAGTAAAACCAATTAATTTGTTAATTTTATGTATATTTTGGTCACTTAAGATGGTAGGGTGGGATTTCTGCCCCCCCCTCCCCCACACCCAACCAACCAATGCACGTGTGTTATACGATGTGTTTACACTTTTAATAAAAAGGAAAGTTAAAGACTGATAAAAATCTTATGACAATGTTCTTAGTAAGATCAGAAGTTTAAGACTTTTATCAAAACAAAAAAAATCAAAAAAAAAAAAAAAAATTAAAAAGAAAAAGAAAAAAATTGCTGCACGACTCATAATATTTGATTTATTTAATTATCAGATTAAAGTAAACTCCATTGAATTTCGACGTGACTTTAATGCACAGTCGCAGTGTTAAGGCTTTGCACGTTTCAAGGTTGTCAATCTTTTGTCGCTTAAAGTTTTTATTAAAGATGCAAAATCGCTGAGAATTTCTTCCACGACAGTTTTCTCTCCCGCCAATTTTAGTGCTTTCGGAACGCGGAAAATACGTTATGCTCATATAAAGGCCGAGGATACACGTGTTCGCATAACGTAATAGTGAATCGACATAAGGTAGAAGAGTGTGCACAGTATGAAATGAGCTTTTCACATAATATCATAAAGAATTGACATAATGTAATGAAAGGTTGACACAATGTAATTGTTGTTTAATTAAATGTCATGAACAGTAAACATAACGAAATGCAAGTTGACAAAATATAATTGTAGTATGTGTAAATGTCATAAAGTGTTGACATAATATAAAGGAAAGTTGACACGATGCAAGGGTAGTGTGGGTTAATGTCATAAATAGTTGACATAATGTAATGGAAGGCCGACATAATGCAATAGTAGTGTAGGTTAATGTCATAAAGAGTTGATATAATGTAAAGGAAGGTTGACACAATGCAATAGTAGTGTGGGTTAATGTCATAAAGAGTTGACATAATATAATGGAAGGTTGACATAATGCAATAGTAGTGTGAGTAAATGTCATAAAGTGTTGACATAATGTAGTGGAAGGTTGACGCAATGCAATGTTGTGTTCTGCTATAAGGCAGTGACGGCGTTCCATACATGTGCATAGGAACTCTTTTAACTAAACTTAAGTGCTACAGGATTGGACAGGTGTATTTTTGCAGAATTTTCATTTGTTTGTGATTTGAAATAATTTGGTAAACATGACATTGACTGAGAGGTACCTTGCAAAAATTCGGGAAATTTATGTCGGAAATTAAAAGAAAAATGGAGGGAAATGGACTAAATAATGTCGGAAATGCTATGCAGATTTCCGGAAATAAAATGCAACGGTCATTGGTATGTATGTATGTCAAATCTGAGGGAGAGGATTACTTTGGAAACTTTAAAAGACACCACCCCAATGAATTAATACTTCCTTGAATTTTATCTCCTAAGAACTGATAATGTAATAGACTTTAA